TTTCTTTCTTTCTTTCTTTCTTTCTTTCTTTCTTTCTTTCTTTCTTTCTTTCTTTCTTTCTTCCTTCCTTCCTTCCTTCCTTCCTTCCTTCCTTCCTTTCTTTCTTTCTTTCTCTCTCTCTCTCTCTCTCTCTTTCTCTCTCTTCTTTCTTTTCTTTCTTTCATTCATTTAAGACAGGGTTTCTCTGTGTAGCCCTGGCTGTCTAGGAACTTATTCTCTAGATCAGGCTGGGCTTGTTAAACTCAGAAATCTGCTTGCTGATTTCTGGCATTCTGAGTGCTGGGGTTAAAGGCATGCACCAGCACTGCCAAGGTCTCTGCTGTGGTCTTCAAAAGCATATTACTGTTTTCACCAGAAAACTTTAACTTTCATTTTTCTTTAAATTTTATTATGGTGACATTGAGGTTGTGTGTAAGTTAGGCAAGCTATTCCTGTCACCGAGCTACACTCCCAATTCAGATGTTCATGATCATGTACATGTTTTCCGAGATCAAAAGTTTGCACTGTATCTGTTCTTTATTGTGATTATGATTATTATTTTTTTGTAGCTCTGTTCTTTTTCATGAGCCCTCACTGGACTCATGTTTTTACTCTCAGTTCCTTCATGGCATTCTGATCTTTTTCTAGCATCTGTCTTAAAATCCCTCCAGTATCCACTTAGTACCTAGTTTTTAGATATATTTTTAATAGAATTCCATTTAGAACTAAAAATCTCTGTAGGTCAGCCTATCCAGTGAAATAAATAAACTTATTACTAAGAATTGTTTCAGAGGGTTATAGAAGCTGACAAGGTTTGCAGTTCATAAGTTGGAGGCCTCGGAGTTTTTTGTCCGCTGTAAGGCCTCAGGACCAGAATAGCTGAGCACGTGGGTCTCATCTAGTAGACTGGAGGCCACCAGAAGTGGTGGTCTAGTTCCAGGCCAAAGGCAGGAAAAGCTGATGTCCTAGCCAGAAGTCAGCAAGAAGAATTCTCTCTCTTTCCAGGGAGGGTTAGCTTTTCCTTTCAGGGCTTCAGCTGATTTGATAAGGCTCAGCTAACTCTGGGGAGGGACATCTTATTGTACTGATTTAAATATTAAGCTCATCCAGAAGCACTTCACACAAAGATTGGAGTGTTTTTGATCAGACATCTGGATCCTTTATGATTCCTTGTCGACATACTTAACCACCACATGGGTCACATTTTCTGGCTTTTTTTGTTATTTTGGTTTTATTGTATTATATTCTGTTATATTTCCTCTAAACAGTGGTTTTTGCTTGTTTTTTTTTTTTTTTTTTTTTTTTTTTTTTTTTTTTTTTTTTTTTTTTGTTGTTGTTGTTGTTTTGGCTTAGTAGGTAGTTAACTTGACCAAACTCAGGCTCCAAATTCTTGCTTTCTGTCAGATGGACAGCAGATAAAATTTTGGTTTAGTTTAATTTAGCCTTTTGAAATGTTTACTTTCTAAGTACTAGAAGTTATTTTATTAAAACAGTACAGGAGAAAGCAGGAGTTTATAGGAAGAATTTGAAACTTTCTTTCTAGAGATTTGTCTTTGCACTTTAGAGTTACAGTAATTGCCTTTAGTTTACTTTTCCTGACCTAGTTCTTTGTTGTATTTGTAAATTGTAATGGTCCATTTGTCTTTTTTTTTTTTTTCTTTTTAAAATTATGTTTTTGAAGTTCTATTTTAATGGACAGAAATACATAGATATTTTCATCTTCTAAGTGATTTTTCTCCCATTCAGGGCCATTCAAGATCTAATAACATCTGACACCCTGTTACCCTGCTGTGTGTGGGCTAGTGCTGAGCATGTAGCTAAATAATGGCTTTTTCTGTGAGTCTTCCCTCCTGACGCAGTTCTGGTCTTGCCTGTTCAGCGAGGGCATCTGGACATTTGGGCTAGATAACTGTTGCATTAAACGATGTTAGTAGCACTCTCTTGCACTCTAGATGCCATACCCCGTCTCCCACTTTGTGATAAACAGGGTCTAGATAGCAACAGATGTCTCCATGGAGCAAAATCACTTCAATTGAAAGCCACTAAGTCCAGGTCTAATGAGGAAGGTAGGCTTAGTTGTATAGGCTTCCTTTGTTCTGATTATACCCTGCTGTCTACAGGTTAACAATTCCTGTAAAGAGGATGCCTCCAGGTCAAAGCAAAACAGCAAGAAAAAGAGGATCATCTATGATTCAGGTAATTTTTTTTAAATAACTTTTAAAGGCTTAAAAATCTGTTATTTACCATGTAATTGTATTTTCCAAACTGATGTCTGAGGCAAACATGTCTCTGTGACATTAAGAAGTACTGTGTGAAGAGAGCTCAGGTAGGTAGTACTTGGAACAGTTTTTAACAGCAGAACTTACCAGAACCTAAATATTTTAATGTGTTAAAGATTTGTTTAGTGAGGGATAGAATATGTAGCATGTCTCAGATTTTGAGAGTGTGGCTTGCTTGTCCGTCCGTCCGTCCGTCTATCTATCTATCTATCTATCTATCTATCTATCTATCTATCTATCTATCTAACTATCTATCTATCATTTGATCATCTATCAAAAGGCCTTATACATGCTAAACAAGTGCTCTGCCACTGATCTGTATTCTCCGCTCATATTGTCAAAAAATATTCCCATTAATTTTTTTTCAAGTTGTGGTTTTTAGAAGTTAAATTAAAAAAAAAAAAAAGAAAAAAAGGAAGATAAAAGTACCATACAATGCTGCTGTTCAGTCAAATATTGGTTACATTTAATTAATTAATTTGTGTGTATATGGCTATGTGTATGTACCATGGCATGAGAGGATGTCAGAATACAGCCTATAGGAGTCTGGTCTCTCCTGTCACTGTGTAGTTCCTAGGAATTGAATTCAGGTTATCAGGCTTGGTGGTAGGTGTCTTTATTTGTTGAACCAACTTGCTGGCCCCAAAACAAGTATCTAAAGTTGATTAAAGATTTGATAATTTCATTCCTAATGAAGAAGTAATAAACACAGTGTAAAGGATTTCTTTATCATTTATTTGTTTTGTGATGCCACCACTGAACTGTACCCCAGCGCTGTTTATTTGTTGAAACACAGTGTCATGTTGCCTAGACTCTTAAGTAGCTGGGGCTGCAGCCCATCACACCTGACGTAGCTTTCATTTTACCTGTTTACCCCCACCCCTTATCGAGTCAATGTCCATGTAGCCCACATTGGTCTTGAATTCCCTGTGTAGCTGATGATGACCTGATTCCTAATCTTACCTCCACCTTTTAAATTCTGAAATTACAGGCATGTGCCAAGTGGATGTAAACTAATGTAGCCTAAGGAAGCATTTGTGTATTGCTAATATTTTTGTTTTTTCTTTATTTGGTGATAATTGAGATGGGCCCTACTGTGTTGCCCAGGCTGGTCCTGACCTTCCAGGCTCAGGTGCTCTTCTGTCTCATCTACAGTAGCTGAAGTTCTGGTGTGTCATAGCATGTAGGCTGTTGTGACTTTCACAGTGATAGTAATTAGCTCAGCTCATGACTGAATTTTCAAGATACTTGAATATTTACTAAATTACTTTACGGAGCTTTATCATGAAGATATTGAAAGTGTGTCTGTATTTTTTGAGTTTCTTCATGGAAATAACCATACTAAACCCTAACATAAAGCAGTATGAGCTGGGTATGGCGACATTCCTGTAATTCCAGCACTCAGGAGGCAGGTGGTTCTCAGGCCAGCTGAGGCTCTGGTGAATCCCTGTCTCAGAACCAAAACTCTAAACCAACCAGAACTTTTGTATTGACAGAGAAAGAGGAAGGACAGTGAGTTTATGAATGGTCTGCTTTGTACCCTGTCTGTTAGGTACTTAGGCTTTGCTCTGATTTGCTTTACGTAGTCCAGCCAAGTAGGCAGAATAATCAGTGATATCTCCCCAAATCTACCATCCAAGTCCTAGAACCCGTGAACCTGCTAGGTTAAGAGCAAAGGGAAATAAAATCTGCAAGATTGGTTCAGGTGCCTAAAATAAGATGGGCTCAGTGTGTCTAAGGAACAGGAGGCAGAAGAGAATTGGAGAGAAATTAAGAGTGTATGCAGGCACACTCCTTTAATCTCAGCACTCGGGAGTCAGAGATAGGCCTGTAAGGTTGATGCCACCCTGGTCCACTTAGAGAGCTTCAGGACAACGTAGAGAGACTCTGTCTTAGCTTCTCACCCCCTAGTCTCCTCCCTCCAAAATATAGAGAATAAGGTTAAAAATCACGAGAAGGGTAGCACTCTGCTTGAGGGTATTTATTTGTGTGTGTATGTGGTGCAAGGGAATTGAACACAGTGCCTTGAGCGTGCACATGCTGTGCAAACATTCTACCCTTACGCCACATCCATAGCTCTTTAAAAAATATTTTTAAAAATTAGTGACATGTCTCAATAAGGTTGCCTGTGCTAGCCTTGAGCTCACTTGTATCCCAGACAAAGCTCAACTATCAGTCTCCTGGTCAGTGCCACCCTGCCCAGTTTCTTGGCTTTGAAGATGGGAGAAGAGGTTAAGAGCTGTGTGTTGATGGCAGCCACTAGCAAATGAAAATGACAAAGAAATGGATTCTTCCCTAGGGAGCCTGGAAAGGTTCATGTCCCTGCTGATGCCCTTATGAGACCTGTGTCAGCCTTTGCCCAGACTGTTAAAGATAGTGTGTCTGTGTTGGATTTTCTTTTTCTTTTCTTGCGTGATGGCTGTGTGTGTGACGTTGTGCATGTGGAGGATAGGTAATGATTTGGGGAGTTGGCTTTCTCCTGTGTGGTTCCTGGGGACAGCACTTAGGTCACCAAGCTTGGACCTTTACCCACTGGACCATGGTCCCAGCCCACATGTAAAGTAATGTAAAAATTCAAGACATGGTCCTTAGGGGATTGGCCCGTAATGACCACTTTAAAAATACACGGATGTCTCCTTTCATAGTTTTAACGTTTCTCTTGTAGATTCAGAATCAGAGGAGACCGTACAGGTGAAAAAAGCTAAAAAGAAAACAGAAAAATTGCCGTTGTCTTCTAAACCTGGTAAAGTTTCTCAGAAGGATCCTGTTACATACATTTCTGAGACGGGTAAGGTCCCGAATGTATTCATTCTGTCTGTTTTGAATTGTGTCTGTCAGAGGAAGGGTGTGATCATCTTTGGAATTTTTTGTGTGGTAAAGATCTAGTCACTGGTGAGGATCAAATCCAGAACCTCATGCAAGCTAGGTAGATACTCCACCGCTATATTCTTAGCCCGGGGGGGAGAGTTTATCTTTTTTTTTTTTTCCTTCACAGAGCTGAGGACTGACCCTAAAGCCTTTGCATTTGCTAGGCAAGTGCACGGAGTACCACTGAGCTAAATCCCCAACCCCCAGGGGAATTAGGAAAAAAAAAAATTTGTTTTATGTGTATAGTTTTTTTTTTTTTTTTACATATATATCTGTGCCTGTGGAGGCCACATGAGAGTGTTGGTTTTCCTGGGACTGGAGTTACAGATGGCTGTGAGCCTCTCTATGGTACTGAGTACTCTGTTGTGAAAGAGTAACTAGTTCTCTTATTTTTGTTTTATCATTGGACTGTCTTGACCTGTCAGCCACCCAAGTAAGGACACGGAGACTTTTTATTAATATGAAAGCTTGGCCTTAGCGTAAGATTGTTCCCAACTAGCTCTTGTAACTTAAGTTAACTCATTTATACTAATTACATTCTGCCGTGGGGCTTGTTACCTCTCCTTATCCCGGTACCTGCTTCTTCTCTGCATCTGGCTGGTGAAATTCTGTGCCTGATTCTTTTCCAGAGTTCCTATCTCTGTTGGGTGTTTTGCCTATCCTCTCCTGCCTTTTATTGGCTGTTTAGCTCTTTATTAAACCAATCATAAGGTGATGGAGAAGAATGTTTAAAAAATAGAGACAGGTGATACTTCATAGAAAATAACAATGCCAAAGTCTGGCCTGTACTCAACTCTCTGTTATACAGAAAACAGCATTTGACTAATACAAAGACAACCTTTACACAACGAGATTATCCCAACTTTTTTTTTTTGGTCATCCCCTTCCCCAGATAGGGTTTCTCTGGGTAGCCCTTGCTGTCCTGGATCTTGTGTTCTGGAGTCAAGACCAGGCTGGCCTTGAACTCGGAGATCTGCCTGCCTCTGACTCCTGAGCGCTGGATTAAAGGTGTGCACCAGCACTGCCCAGCAGTTGCTAGTCCTCGTAACTACTGAGCCATCTCTCTAGCCCTTGAACTATTTTTTGAAACATTTTTAATAGACAGATGTATTTCTTAGAACAGGGGCAGATTGGTATTTTTAACTTTTTTGCTATGTTGCTAAATATCTGCTTAGGCACATTGTATTTGACATTTTGACTGTGTGTGAGGGGTAAGGGAAACAATATGGTAATAGGTCTGTGTTTTATGAGATTTTTATGACCACTGTTTCCCCCCCCCATCTTCTTCCTTCTTCTTCTTCCTTCTCTTGCTATATAACCCTGGCTGGCCTTGAACTTAATGTCAGTCCTACCTCAGCCTCCCCATGTGCTGGGATTCCAGGTGTGTGCTGCTACATGTGACTTAGTGCTTGTTCCATTCAGCTGATAGCATGCGTCTGTAAAAGTAAGCGTTGTACTTCTCTTAGCTAAAAATTGTGGGGTACAGTATACACATTATCTTAGCTGTGATAAAACACTAGACAGTTTGAGGGAGAAAGGATTTATTTTGGTTCCTAGTTTAAGGTGATACAGTGAGGAAGCCATGGCAACAGGAACTTGAAGCTGGTCACATTACATCCACAGTCAGGAATCAGCTGAATGCTGCGCTCATCTCTTCTGTAGTTCAGGATCATAGCCCTCAAGTTAGTCTTGCCGTATCGGGTGGGCCTTCCCACCTCACTTGATCAATGGAAGATACTTCTGCTGTCACACTCAAAAGATCTGTCTCCCGTGTGATTCTCCAGCTCATCAAGTTGACAGTTAGATTAGCTATCATACCATCTACTATGATGGTTAGTATTATATGGTATTCTATCTTCCCATATGATTTTAGAAATTTATTTTTTCTTTTCTTTTATGTGTAGTGCCTTCTTGTATGTCTGTGCACCATGTTTGTGCCTGGTGCCTGGAAAGGCTAGAAGAGGGTGGTTGTGAGCTCCCACGTGGAGGCTGGGTTGGACCTGGGTCTCTGTAAGAGCAGTATGTTCTCTTATCTGCTGAGTTATTTCTTCAGATGCTCTGGAGTTTCAGATGGTTGTGAGCTCCCACGTGGAGGCTGGGGTTG